AAAGTGGTCATTCTCCAGATTTCTTGGCACAAAAACACAAAATTAAAAAAAATAAAACAACACAAACTAGGTGGTTTAAGACAACAGAAATTTCTGAAATCAAAGTGTCAGCAAGGTTGGTTATTTTTTTTAACTTTTATTATTTTTTTTTTTTGTAGCATCTAATTGGATCTCACTGTACAGGAGGAGATTGTCCCTCCTTCTCCAGCAGAGCATCTTGGTGGATTCAAGCCTCACGCCTTTGGGACTGCAGTACAGCTTCATGTCACTAGGCTACGAGAGCTCCCTAAGGTTGGTTATTTCTGAAGAAACCATCCTATGCCTTTCCCCTAGGCTCCTGGGAGCTTCCAGGAAACTTTGCTGTTTTCTTGATTTGCAATTTCATCTCTACAATTTCTGCCTCTTTGTACATAGCATATTTCTCTGTGTGTCTTTTTAAGGACATTACAGTCTTTGGATTAGTGCTCACCCCAATCTACTATGTTTTCATTTTAACTTGATTGTTGTTAGTCAGTGCTGTTCAGTATGGATCACAGTGACCATATAAACATATATGAACCCTGTCCTGTCCTATTCCATCTTCATCATCTATGACACATTTGAGCTCACTTCTGTAGTCACTCTGCCAATCCATCTCATTGAAGGTCTTCCTCTCTTTCCAAGCATATCCCTTTCCAGGGTATAACCTCTCCTAGTAACATATGAAATATGTGACATGAAGTTTCACCATTCTTGTCTCTAACATGCACTCTGGCATTAATTTTCCCCAAGACCTATGTTTGTTTTTTTAGCAGTCTATGGGATATTCAATGCTCTTCTCTAACATAATTCAAAAGGTATCAATTGTTTGGTCATCTTTATTCACTGCCCAGCTCTCAGATGCATCATGGCTCCTCAATAATTTGTAGTGTCCTGGTAGCAGTCTTGTCTTAGTGGCTTGAAATTGGCCCAAGTTAATTTGATGCCATCTATAAAAAAAAGGTTGCATTCACAGGTCATGATATGAACCTAATCCACAGCAGCAGCCATGGAATTGAAGTTGCTCAATATTATGAGGGAGCTAAGGTTTACTTTACTGTAACAGTGCCTCATAATATTAAAGATGTTGTGCAAACAGAGCAAGTGAATACTACACAGTTTAAATATAAGAAGGGAGTGTGCCAGAGTATTCTCTCTATATACCTACTCAATCTGTATGCTGAGCTAATTATTTGAGAAGCTGGACTCTATAAAGAGGAACATGGAATCAGGATCAGAAGGAGACTCATCAATAACCTGCCTTATGCAGACGACACAACTTGCTTCCTCGAAGTGAGGAGTGCTTAAAGCACTTGTTGCAGAATATGAAATAATGAATACAGCCTTCATTAGGGATTGCATCTCAATGTCAAGAAAACAAAGGTTCTTACTACTGGACCAACAGGAGACATCATTGTGGATGGAGAATTTAAAAGAATTTTTAACACTATTAGCCATGAAACAAAATCACATCACTTTTAGTAAATGAAGTATGTGAGTGGCATATAGTGATAGGTTGTTATGCATATTAGCTGTGTGTCCACATACAGAAATACTCAACACAAACACACAGACACTTGCAAGACATTGTTTTTCCTCAACATCTAAGATGGTGCATTCCTTGTCAGAGTTGTATAGTTTGTCTAGTAGCACCTCACCTAATTCCCTGACCAGGGAGGGGTTTCATCGTGGTGGACTTAGTATTCATATCAGAAAAGGAAGCGAATGAATGCTGCACTATCAGAGCTCCCTAGAGCCACAATTATTAACTGATTCAAAGAACAGCACTACATCCCCCTAACAACTATTTTCTCCTCCTATTATTTAGTGGAAGGTAAAGGCTTATTTCCAGCACTTTGGGCAGTAAAATTCTTTGCTGGGCAGGTTTGCTAAACACCTGAGTGTTTACTATTCCTTAATTACCGGAGGAATAATGCCCCCACCTGCGCACCTTTCCCCACCATTTCCCTCACCTTCCCATTGCCATTTCAACCATTTGTAGGAACCTAAAACCACCACTAGTGAGATCAAAATTTTATGAAGCTGAGTTAGGCCACCTACAACTGAATTTCAGATGTGAGGGGAAGTACTGAGGCCCTCTTTTACTGCTGGCTGGAATATATCTACTTAGGAGAGTACCTGAGATGTATGTTGGGAATAGGAAAACTCACAAAATAGTCTCCAGGATCACAAAATCATCTTTATAAGTACTGAACTACTTACACATAGAATGTATAACGCATTTAAGCTTTTATTACTGCAGACAGAAGTCTAGCTAATACATGTTATATGTCCCATTGAAAACGTTCCTCTGATATTTGTAA